GCTGGGCATGGGAGAGACACACAGGCACGCAGAGAGAACTAACCAGGACGGTCTGTGCTGCGATGCGCTGGGCCAGCGCGCTGGGCATGGGAGAGACGCACACAGGCACGCAGAGAGAACTAACCAGGACGGTCTGTGCTGCGATGCGCTGGGCCAGCGCGCTGGGCATGCCCATCTTCACCCCGCCATCAGCGAGCGCCTCTGCAAACAGGTACACCTGGGGGCAGAAGTCCGGTCACTCAGAGGCGGCGAGTATTATGATCTGCTGAACCATCAGCCACGAGCAGCCCCCAGGACTCACAAAGGCCACGCCGCTGCCACTCAGCCCGGTGTGGGCATCGATCCAGGATTCGGGCCCCTCCTCCACCAGGCCGCAGGGCCCCAGCAGCGTCTTCAGCAGCGCTCCCTCACCGGGCCCTGCCCTGGAGCCCCGCGAGAAGAGTAAGGCCCCTTCCTGGACCATGCAGGGGAGGTTGGGCATAAGGCGAAGGACAACAGACTCGGGAGGGAGGAGCTGGCCACAAAGGGGAGGGGGGGGGGGAGGGGTGTCACAATTCAGTACCAATGTTTAAACCTACATTCCTCATCCAGCAGAAAAGTCAGAGAAGATGCTCCTCACTTCCTCCAGTGTTGCTATGGTTACGCCCGCAGCCACAGAGACGACAACGTGCTCGCGGGTAACGTGAGGGGCGACCTCACGCAGGATCGCCGGGACCAGGTGGGGCTTCACAGCCAGGAAGATGAGGCGCGAGGCAGCTACTGCCTCCGTGTTAGAGTGGGTCACGGCTGCACCCAGCTCCTGAGAGGGAAATGCAATAAGGGGGCTCGGGCTGAAGGAGATGCAAAGTAATTATTACTGTAACTATAATAATTATAATTACAACATTATACAATTATCCTTCACATGCTAAATCAGAGGTGGCTGCTCCATAGATGCAGAGATTGTAGTACCTCCTCGATTTTTGAGATCAAATCATGAAACATGATTAAGTAACTGTGAAATAACTAATAAAATGTTATTTTCATTTAAGAAAATATTTTTTCTCTTCTTTTGACTGACTATTGTAATATTGTAAAATGTATTACCTTCTTCCCTACTCATTTTTTTTTTTTTTTAATTAGCATCAAATAAAATGTAAATGAAGTGTTTATTCCACCTTACATGTGCGGTGTTTTTCCCCTCAGGGATAATTAGGCACGGAAAATAGATAGGAACCATAGCAGGCTGAGCACTTTAAGTACCTGAAAGCGTCCGAGGTTGTTGGAGGAGGGAGCGCTCACCGTCACGTTCCTGGGTAGGACGCCCCCTGCAGGGCAGCACACAGGAGTAAGGAGACGGCTGCAAAGGGGCTGCTGTAACAGCAGGGGGCGGACTCGCTTATGAAATTTAAACTAGACGAAACAAGATTGTGTTCCTGGGGGGCTTGCAGTTTATGGGCATGATTCAGTTAGCAAAACGTATATCTACCAGCATACAGAGTTATCAATGTACATTTTTCAGTATACACGGACAGAAGCGCTAGAAAAGCATCAATAAACGTAAATAAAAAAACAAATATATGCCGACTAAAAATCCTTCAGGCGGTAATTTAAAAGTGATTATTGGGACTATTATACAGACTTACAGGTATTTACAAGGTAAAACCATTAACTTCCTTACCTGAAAGTAAGATCCCCTTAGTAATGCCAAAGGCCATATTTCCTGCACCAATAAACCCTATCTTCACCTCGGATGGCTCCATTCTGCACTTGTGAAACCTTGTTGAAAGATGTATTAGTCCAGATGTCAGTGTTACATTTGAATAATATCAACACGGACTATCGCCCGTTGACAATGTCTCTGAGCGTCGCCTGTAATGCACTATACTATAGTAAAACATCTTTGGACAAACGACACTATTAACAGCGTGAAATTTGATGGAATCCCCTACCTGTTCCAGGGTCTCTCTGGTTTGGTTTCAATAATCTAATAATTATTATCAGATCAAGAATATGGCTACACGTATGTCCTTGTCAGCGCAGAAATGTAAAATAACGATCCTCAGTAATCAATGACAACTTGTGTTACTCGAAGCTGGTAAATAAGATGTATCGCGATCTTTAAGTTCAACGTAATGCAAATTCAACAGGTTAGTATTTAAAACCACAGTATCAGTTATCCGTAGTTAGTATCGTATAACAAAAAAAAATGTTTCAAAGACCCATTTGACTTGATAGTAAAAAAGGTTTTCACAACGTGTCACATGCACACGTTAGTTGAAAGTGGGACGACTACTTATTAACCCGGGGTGATACTGAGTGGCCATAACTGGACGGACAACTGAACACTTTCTCGGAGTTTCAACTTTTCGGCTGTGATCAAACATTTAGTCGTTGATCATAATGACGGTGATATGATTATTATTATATTAATGTCATATTCCTGCTGTTAGTTTTTTTTTTTTACACAAGACTTACGTTAAGCGCGTTTACACGCGATTTGAGTGAAATATTTTGAATAAAACATGAACTGATGGGAAGGGGGCTGGGGGAGCATTGATCTGATTGGCTGCGCCGTTGGGATTTAAACTGTGTAACACAGTTGGTTCTGAGGGGGGACGTATTGTTGTGTGGTTTTGCCGGAATAAAGTAGCAGGTTATTTCAATAAGGTGAGTGTAATCGGGGTAATTCCACCGTGCAAGTAGCCTACTGCACGACATTTTTGGTTATAAGTTATTAATTGCTTAAAAAAAATCGTAAGTGTGATGAGATTACAGGTTCCCGTTTCGAACATGCCCGGGCATGAGGTAAAGTAGTTTCAGTGTAGACTGGGGGCATATCTGCATGCATACTTATTTGCTCTCTCTGTTAAATGTTTGTCTGTTTTTCTAACAAAATATTTCGCGTTAGGGGCTTTGCTCAGCATCGCACTGCAGGATTAGTGCTGCTTTTCCGTCAAGCACTGCATTGCATTTCCCGATGGGACTTTCCTCTTTCCTCTCCCTGTTAGATGAAGCTGCCCCACCTGCCTCGCATATTATTGTGGGCACTGGCGCTATGGACGCTGGCCTCTCAATGTGGGCCGGCGGGGGCATTTTTCGGCTGGCTGAGGGAGGCGGCTGCCCCCCCGGCTCCCGTGGCCCCTGGCCCGGTGGGTGATGCAGTGCCTCAGTTCGAGATGGCCCTGGCCGATGACAAGTTCCTGGCGGAGGCTAAACTGATGGAGCTGAGTCCCCTGGACAGCTGCCATTATCGGGTATGGCTGCGGGGGCTCTGGGCGCATGTCACCGTTTAAGATGTTCAAAATAAAGAGTTAAAACGTTAAGGAATAGTGTCCCGTTTAGCGTTTAATCAGAAAATGCTTGCATTAATTAAGAAGCATAGATGACGTTAGACTTTTCTTACAGGGGGTGCAACGTGAGAGAGCCCGACCAGTCATTCATTACAGGCAATGCCAAACTGTTCTACACATATGATGTACTGTGTATAAGATTTATCAAGTTGCATACATTTACAATGCATTATTTTTACACATTGATATAAGTAATCCAAGTCACATTTTCAGATGTAACTTTTAAATAAAATTGCATCGTATTGTACTTTAACGTGTTTTGAATAGCATTTTCATCTGACCGATAGGGGGTGTAATTGCACCCCCCGTTAAAATCGCCCAAATTAAGAAGGCCATTTTAAATGGTAGCGGCCTAATAGCAGATGCATTGCGTGGAAAGGACTCAAAACTAATGTGCCTATATTTAAAATGGGGAGGGGACTACCCCAGTGTAACGCTGCCCCTCCCACCAGGTCATTGCCCAGCTGAAGAGCACGTGCAGTAGCCTATCAGAGGAGCAGCTGGCCAAGCTGGGTGTGGTCTTGTTCAACTGCCAGTCTGAGGTGGAGGGACGCAGGACCTACCCCTGCACTGAGGAGATGGTATGGCCCGGGTGACAGGGGGTGAAATTCTTCAGTTCCGTGTCCAGTGAAGGCATCCTTGGCACTTGCCCCAGGTGGATTCAGCCCATTACCCCCCTCCCAGTCTCTAAAGCAGTGCACGGCAGACATGGACTCCGACACATGGAACGCCTACCACATCGTGAGCAACCGGGCACGCTCCGTCTGCTATGCCACACGCCAGCAGCACTTCCGCAGGAGGGCCGAGGTCACCGTCAACGCGCTCATCGCCACTGCCACCAACCAGCTGGACGCCATGAAGGACCTCAAGGTGCAGCCTGTCCCGGCATCAGCTTTCCGCTGCTGTCCCCTCTGTGGTCCATGTGTCGCTGCTCCCCCCCGTCATAAAATCAGCTTGAGAATAACCAAAGCCCTCATTTGTCTCTGAGCTGCTCGGCCAGTCCTGGATCTGTCTTGATCCTTGACTTTTGGCTCTGGTGTTGTCCCGTGTCCCCAAAGGAAGGCCAGCAGGAGCTGAAGGAGCTGACGGCGGCGTCGCTGGAGAAGCTGCTGCTTGGCCACAGCGCCCTGCATGAGCAGCAGGGCCAGCTGCAGGTGGGCCAGGAGCAGATGGAGACCTCCATCACCTCCAACCTGGAGCGGCTCAACCAGGAGAGGGCGCTCATCGCCTCAGGGCAGGAGCTGGTGGCTAGGCTCATCCAGGGGATCACCCGAAGGATGGGTGAGGAGATGTGGACCACTCGCACCACCCAAAGTTCTAAACCTAGTCCTGTAATTAATCTTCCTGAACTTCCCAGTTAAAGCAAAAACCAGTATACATACCGTTGTTCTGGGAGCTCTGTAGATGGAATATAATCATCTATAACTCTGGCTCCATCGTCCACATCACATCTTACTCTGTACAGAAAATGTCACCGATCAGCTAAAAGGTCAGGGGTCAGACCTACACGATGGACACAGGGCTATTCTGGAGGACCTGGCCGAGGTCAGGGGTCGTGCTCAGGACATCTATATCAAAATGGGTATGTTAAAGCTGATTCCCTAACGCCCTTATGGTGGTCGTGTCGGAAGTAATCTGTTTATGATTACAGCACGTTATTGGCAACTTACCCACGATGTTTCTGTCACCTATATCTTTGCCAGAAGACAACCTGTCAGGGTTCCTGAAGTACCAGAACCGCACAGCCCAGTACTACATGGAGCTGATGGGCAAGCTGGAGCGCATGAACGGCACGCTGGGATACATGCTACAGTATCTGGACAGCATGCAGAGGCGGCTGGAGGAGCGGCTGTTCCTCATCCAGAGCTACTTGGGCTGGGCAGGTGTGTGACGGTCGGCAGACCCCACGTCTAGTGGAGGTCGTCTCTCAGTCCTCTGAAAAGAAATCGAAATACTTTCCAGAGTATAACAGTAAAGCTTTTTTTTTTTTTTTGTGGTTCCCAGGCCTGAGTCTGTCTGCCCTATGGGTTTGTGCAGTGCATGCTGGGTACTTTCTCCTAGTAGCACTGCTGCTCTGCTTTCTGCACTGCCCCTGCTTCTCCCGTGCCGCCCTGCTGGTCAGCGTGCCCCTCAACGCCGCAGCAGAGCTCAACCATCAGCCCTCGCTGGACATGATGGGACTCAGCCTGCTCCTCGTCTCGCTCTCCTTGGGTGAGGCTGGGGCACGGTGCTGTTTGCTAACTGGACAGGTCCATTTATCATGGTGGGAGGAATCACTGTAGTCTGTTTTTTGCCCCAGGTCACTGGTTCCTCCTGCAGCTGCTTAGGGGTGTGTCCAGATTCAGGGTGAAAAATCCCACCCTTGCCCTCCCTTTAGCACAGCAACTAGATGCCCGACCCAAGAGCCCCAAACGTCCACGTCTGAGTCACTCCACGCCTGAGAGGCAAGTGGCGTGATTTCTCAGTTTCTTGCATCTTCTGCTACCTCAACACCACATCGACTGACCTGTAGGTCCCTCTTGCTCCCAGAGATGCTGTTGGCAGCGTTATGGCCCTGGATCACGATCCCCTGCTGGCTCAGGACAGCTTTGCTTTCGGTGTGTAAATTCACGATAACCCTTCTGCCTACCCATAATTCTCTAGTCTCCTGGTCTATTTGATGTTCATGCAAGACTGTCATAGGGGCATGGATACCCTGCCCCAAAATCTAGCATCGCAACCCCCCCCAGACAATATTTTTCCATATGGCCCTGAATTTAACTCTGCCCCTGTGTACATGCATTGGGTGTAGTGTTCTAATCCCATGCTGGGATAGTCCACCTTCCTTAAAAGTACACTCATGTACGGTTCTCCCTATCTCCACGCACCTCTGGTAACATCTGCATGAACATTTAGTAGACCACACTCTGGCTGTAATGGGGTTATGTCATCTAGTTTGAATCTACTGCACTCGTGCCCACCCCCCCCAACAGATGACCATTGCCTGACTAGCACTGACAGGATCTGTGAGCCCCAGTTCATTGTACCCAACCTGGGCACCCCGAGCCACTCTACTCCCAGGACCAAAAGACGGCCTAGTCTCCCCGTGGTAAGCCTGAATGTGAAGCACTCATTGTCTCCTCTTCATCTCGCACGCCTGGATGTAGGTCATGTATTTGGTTGAATGGGTCCTGATCTAAAATGGGGGCTTGTCACCGGTTGTTGGCAGGGGGTGCTGGAGGGTTTTGCCCAAAGGCACCTGGGAGCCGTACTGGATACTGTAGGCGAGTCTTCATGCTGTTCCAGCCCCAACCAGTCACTCGGTAGCAACAGGTACGTTCCCTATACACCGCAGCGCTAGCCCCGATCCTTCCAGAAACATTCGAAGCCCCGGTCTGCTCCGTGCTGCTCTAGCTGTCGTTCGTTCAGTAGCATGTATGTATGTGGGACGTGCAGTAAAAGCGGGCTTAGGCTGGCTGTCGACTTCCCCTTCAGATCACACAGTGTGACTCTTCCTCCTCTTTCCCTCTTCAGTTCTGCCTCTGGGAGACGGCTCTGCCAGGGCACCACCAAGACAGGCCACCCCTGTAAGAAGAGGGCCATTCTCGGCCAGGACTACTGCAGAATCCACGAGGGAGGCCACACCTCCTACGCCCCCCTCACCCACACGCCACTGACCTCAAAACCACAGGCTCCTCCCATATCTTAAATGCACTAGTGTTATGTTTTCAATCCCCTAGGGTGGGGCTAAGATCAATGTTTTAACATTTTTATGTGGTAGTTCACCGAATGCTCTTTGTGTACAATGTCTAAATAGCTGTAATATTTAAAATGCATGGTTTTATTTAAAATAAATGATTTGTACTTGGTGTCTAGCCGTACTGTGCTTTGGGCTTCAGAAATGAGACACCTGCTGACTTCAGCACCGAATGCATCCCAGTGACCACTTGCCTTTCCTTTGGAGGGCTCTGCCCGCAGGCCAGGGAATCGGACTGAGCTGATTAGGGGACCTTTAGTGATCGGCTTGGCCCTCCGATGAGGGCTGTAAACCTGGACTTCAGGAGCTGCACTTCTACAACTTTACCACAGCAGATAAAGGAGCTCTGAGCTAAACCAGTGTGGAAACTGGAAACTAAAGTCAGTCTGGCAACTGTGGACCAGAACCATAACCCTGTGTGTGCGGGGTGGATGTTGGAAAGACAGATGAGGGGTCTTGTTAATTTAAGATAAGTGACTAGCAGGTTTGAGTAATACCACCAAATGGTCAAAGACCATTTAAAGATGAATGCTCGAATGTTTGGAAGCCTTTCATTTGCATGCTTCTGTGCACCGCATACAGGATGGAATGTTTAACATCACAAAAGGACTTCTCTATTTGGGGGACAGTAACAGACCTGCAGAGAATTACAGCAGTCATCACAGTCTGTCTTTATTCAGCCTTGGTTTGGCTCCAGTACAGCAGTTTAACATACTATAAATACAAATTAAAAACGATTATCAAAGCCATTACCCCATTAAGGGGGTGTGTCTTCCCTGTAGTTTCTGTCTGACTGGATTGTTGTAGTGCGTTAGGGGAGGAGGGGAGGCTACAGACAAACTGCTGTCCTAGAAGTCGCCTGGGTGCCATCTTGGTTCCAGTTAATGCCTGTCTAATGCAACAGTTCTTTCCTCTTCTGAGGCGGTGCTGCCTCCAGAGGAGAGGTGACACAGAACGGCAGCCCTGTCCACCAATCAGATGGCGGTTCGGGCTCACTTGCGGGCAGTGTCATAGTTGGCCACAAACCAGTCGCAAGTCTCCTTCACCGCTGGAAAGCCAATAGAAAATGAGTCAGGCACAGCAGCACGTAAAACCTTAAATAAAATGGTATGCAGATTCTCACATCCACATTAACAAAGTGCTTCTATACTACTATTGTTTTAGACATGAAACCTGTGGGTCACAAGTTCGAATCTGTCATTAAACCATCCAAATAATGCATAATACTAACTAGGGCTGCACGATTTGGGGAAAATATCGAATCGTGATTTTTCTGACAAATTGCGATTACGATTTGATTTGCGATTTAATTTTTTTATGTCAAGCTTCAGTTCAATATTCAGTGTGTATAGTCATTTTAAAACATGACGCAGCATGAGATACCATCAGTATTAACTGGTCTATATTCTAATGCAAGGATGAGAATTTAAAGATGTGATGTGTCAAGTTAAATAAAGTAATAATGAAAACAATTGCAGCAAACAGAAAAATAGCGATCTTGCAGGTAACGCTTATTACTCTCCTAATAACACTAGAACCGCCTTTTCCCACGCCAATGAACAAGCAGGAACTACTTTGGTGTATGCAGCCCTTTTGTTTGCGCTGTTGTGTTGTTAGCTGCTATTATTAACACTAATAACACTCAAAAAACCGTGATGTTCATGACAGAGTGGCTGTTCTGTCCTGAAACCGTAAAGCTGGAAATTTTTAAACTTAGTATGCATTTTATAAAAGGTTGAATAAACAGAAGTCGTTTATTGGTGATTTCATGTTGGTCGAAGTTTCCGCTTTTTGACAACTGTATACGGTTATTTTCTATACAAATAAATTCAGGTGAAACAAAAAAATGTACGTGTTCATGGTTGCAAACTCTTTCAGACTTTCACACAAAAATCTTATGGCAAATCTATATTCCATTCTGAACTTAAAATTAGTTGCATCAAAAACGTTATGGCAGTTTACTGTTGTGGGATTAATCTTTGGAAACAAATTTAATAAGCACAAGACATATGACATATAAACACGACTGTATTGTGGGTTTTACGGCTTTCTTGGAGGTCACCAACTCCGCTGCTGTTAGAATTCATTGTTGTTTTGATGGGTTAGCGGTATACTAATGCTATTGCCTATTAACAAAAACCAAAGGTATGATATGCTGAAGTATACTGCAGCTGGTGTTTAAAAGGAGCTCGCCGGTTCTATTGATGATAGGACCTTCCTGAAACAATCTCGGACCATGAAATAGGAAGGCAATTCACTTATAGCTCAGTAGCGGAATAAGTATTTTTCCGCACTGCGAATGTATACATATTTTCCTTGGGTTTCACGTGTTTGCTGTTTGTGGGCTTATACGCCTTCTTGGGCCACTTCTGATTGGTGAGCATGACTGGCACGCGAGAAGCACGGCTTGTGATTGGTGAGAATGACTGTCACAGAGGAAGCACGGCATGAATTTGTAAAACTATTCTCACAGCAGTTTTAAACCATGGGTCCGACGTGCTGTATAATGTATATCCTAAATCGCGATTTTTGTGACTTGCTAATGGCGTTGTTTCAAATAGCGATTTCGATTTGAAATCGATAAATCGTGCAGCCCTAATACTAACCCCAAAGGTTTCAGATAAAATAAGTCATGTGACAGAATACGAATCTGCCCCCAAGTCCTGACCTTGAGAGAACGGGGTGAAGGTGAAATCAGGGAGGTGACGCCGCAGCTTGGCGTTGCTGGCAGTCTTCTTAAACTGCCCATCAGCTTTGCTGGTGTCAAACTGAGGTCAAAGGTCAGGGACAAATGCTTAATGAGCCAGACGGGCCCCTTGGTGTTTCATGAATGAAAAGGAGTTTGCATATCTCAACATTAAAAGAGGATAGGAAAAGTCACATCACCTAAGATTTCAATAAATCTGACCCCACAAAAAGGATACGACTACTTGACCTTTGAACCCTAGGGCTTCGACGACACTGTCTGCCACTTCCTTGATGGAAACTTCTTCCTCCTCACCCACTGCAATTTTCACAAATAAGTAGTTAATTTTAGATTTTATTTAAGAACAAATTACAGCCTCTAATCAACAGCATTTTCTGATTTCATAATACAAGTGTGCCTGTAAAATATCTTCTGTTAAAATGGTGACTGCGCTGTCAAACATGTAGAACATGTAGAATGTCTGTATGGTGAAGGACTTAAACATATATTCCCGATGACAGCTAAGCAATGTGTGAAACTGGAGAATTTATAATTACCAGATAATGAGAACACTCAGTAACAGCAGGCTGAAATGCCGGATTCTTCCAAGTAGGTCTAGGAACCCAGACTACAGAGCACTCACCAGACAGTATGATGGGGTCAATCTCATTGTACTCCCTCAGCACCCAGACGAACAAACGCGCCAGGTCCTGTGGGGGGAACTCAGGTCATCAACATAACCTTGGACCCCTGACCTTTGCATCACACAGCATGATCAAACCAGCTTAAACACTCCCTCTGCATCTAATTAGACTGACATGAAATTATAATGATCAAACACATTTGTGTGGACAAGATTATGGGGTTCGATCTAACTCTGCATGCTACAAAGGTGACCTCGTAAAAAATGACCACATTTAGCTTTGGGGCGTTTGACCTTCCGACTACATTAAAAACACTTCAGTATGAATAAATAGTACCTACAACTTGCTAGCTAGATCTATCAAGTCTCGTTTTTGTTAGTGTCTGTAGAGGGTGGAGGATTCACCCCCAATTCATGAAACAATGACATGAACTGTGTCCATATTGTCACAGGTGGGGGGGGGGTGCAATGACAGCTCACCAAGGAGTAGATGAACTGTCTCCTAGGAGTTCCAGTGCCCCAGACTTGCAGCGGAGATCCCTCCTCTGCAGTGGGGGGGGGGGGGGTTTACAATAAGGTCAGGTGACATGAGTTGAACAGCCCATAACAGTTACTACACCAACAGAACTGCGTTGGTGTTCGATGGAGTTTCCATCGAAAGGATAAAAATTATGTTGTCCGATACGAACACAAGGTGGTATATTCTTTAATGAAATCAGCATAAAATCTGCTCTTAATCACTGGTTATGTGCCTGTGTTTATGTTAGCTTGCTGATTTATATAGCTACTGCTATACCCTCATGCATTGACTGGAGAAAAACAAACAAAAATGTACCACATGCATGTGTGTATGTGTGTGTGTGTGTGCGTTTACCTATCCTTATGGGGACATAATGTCCCCATAACGTGATAAATATCTGTTTTTTTTCCCTTATGGGGACCAGTTTCCTGGCCCCCTTAAGGGAAAACTCTATTTTATAAAAATCGGTGACTGTTATGAAAAAACTAAAAATGCAAAAACTCTTGTATTTTGTTAGGTTACTTATGGTTATGGTTAGGGCAGGGTAGGGGTTAAGGTTGTCATAGTTAGCATTAGCATTTTTCCCATTGAAATGAATGAGCGGTCCCCATAAGGATATGTTTACCCTACATGTGCCTGCGCGTGTGCGTGTGTGTGTGGGCTACGCACTGTGGGCGATATAGGCCTTGTGAATGAGTCCGGGCAGCACGTGTCCATCCTCGATGTTGAAGTTGTCGTGGGGCCCAAACACGTTGGTAGGGATGACTGCAGTGTAGCGCCGGCCGTGCTGCTGGAAATAAGCCCTGATCTCACACACACACACACACACACACACACACACACACACACACACACACACACACACACACACACACACATTACTGATCCGGGTTAAACCCAGGACAAGGTGAACCAGGGAAAAATAAGGACTCCAATACCCACCTGACCCACCAAGATCCTTGTGCTTACCCTGTAGCTACAGCAGGCATCACGCCCCCCAAAACTTTCCACCCCCCACCTCTATAAAATGTCAAGCCTGGTGACTGACGGTACACTGCAGCTCACCTGTTCTGGACATCGATCATCCTCTTTGCGTACGAGTAACCGAAGTTGGAGTTGTGTGGGGGGCCATTATGGATCTAAGGGGCCAGAGAATTCAACTCCAATTTCACATCTTTCATTATCATCCGTAGAAGCCATTTTATTTACACAGATTATATATCTACAATTATTTTTGGTCTGTAACCATAATGCCCCCTTGCGGCCTTACCATGGTCTCATCGATTGGGTAGGTGGTCTTGTCGGGGAAGATGCAGGTGGACAGGCAGGACACCACTTTGACCACGCCCATCTCATGGGCTGTCTGTAGCACATTGTCATTTATGTGGACGTTGCTCCTCTGGAGGGGGGGCGGACACAAATTTCTCAAAACAACCCATTTTAGCTGCAACAGCATCCTAGTGTCTTTTGTGAGGAGAAAAAGACTTTTTAAAAAACATTTTGATTATTCATCGAAACAACCAGGGGGGGTTTCTCCCTACCCAAAAGTCCAAGTTCTCCCTCATGTTCCGGAACAAGCCCCCCACCATGGCGGCCAAGTGGATGACATGAGTGGGCCGGTGCTTTTCGAAGAGCGCCCGTGTCTGAGCCAGATCCCTGCTCCAAAGAGGACGGACTACGGTTAGCACCCGCCCGCACGGACACACAGACACACGACGACCAGACAGCAGCCAACACCCACCTGAGGTCCGCGTCCTTGGAGGAGAGGAAGATCCACTGCTCCCCTTTCCCGCACCCCCCCTGGGCCTGGACCACCTGCTCGATCGCCCGGCCCACCAGGCCTGTCCCACCCGTCACCAGCACGCGCATCGGCGCCTTTTGCGTCTCCATCTGTGCAATTTCTGGGGAGCAGAGGCAACGGTCAGCATTTACTGCCTGGCTACATCCTGGTCATGCTGTGCAAAGTGACAGGAAGTCCCCAAGAGAAAAGTGTTAAGGACAATTGTTTACTAACAATAAAAAAGCACAATCTTCTAAGTCGAGTCTATCCCAGGCAGCATGGGGCACACCCTGGATGGGGTGCCAGCCCATCACAGGGTACATACACACTTACACACACAGCTACTGAATGGGAACATCTGGGATACACCAACTAGCTTAACCACGGGAGGAAAACAAAACAGCCAGAGTTGGAGGTTTGAGGCAACAGAGCTACCTACTAAAGCAGAATGTCACCCAACAGCGCAATGTAGCTTATAAAAAAGGTTCAGTGTTTGCAGAGGTGCTTTTCCATGTGGGAAAGAGAAAAACATGACCGTAAACTGTGTTTAAGGCACATTCGCACGAATGAATTCATAGATAGCACAATGTCAGAGTATATCTGTCAAAATTATTGTTAGATTTACTAAAAACCTGGAGTATTTTAATTCAGAGTACAATACAGGCTTGCCACGTCAGTGCTCTGTCGTGTACCTGAACGTGTTTTTCCTGTTTATGCCACGACTTGGTCAAAGGCAACTGAAAGTATTAGGTCTGTGCTGCAACTTCCTCACACCACCAAGTCATTTCGGGAACTGCAACTTAGTAGTATACAAGAACATTTGGATTTGTACAATCCATGATGCAATCCATCAAACAACATTTCAATCGATGAGGGCGAAGCTGATCTTAGATCGTTGACTTACTTTATAAACAGTGGACAGCAACTGGAGAAGACCGAAGAAAGGGTTACGTGGACAATGTACAGTTGGAGGCACGCAATCGGCTACCAACATTATAAAATAATTTAGCGTTAATGCATAAAACAATAATGTTAATGAAACAGCGAAGATAATCATAATGCAATGGCACGCTTACCGGTTACAGTGTCCACATGCATCTAAGTGAAGCACATCTCCCTCTTCCGGATTCTGATGCCGGATTGTTTACACGTGCACGAGGCGGAACTTCCGGCTAACATCGTCATGTGACCGCGTGGCAGCCGCGTGGATTCGCGCAGACATTCCTCATTGGCTGCGCTTCGCCGACCAAAGGTCTAACGTATTAACCCTCGGATTGGACGTACGTAAATGCAGTAACTAAACTATATGTGATATTAAGTGTGTGAGGAATTTGAAATTTAACATAATATGTATCATTAGATATCTTTTCGGAAACCTTGCACTATAACATTGAGAGAACCTCGATTTGGTTAATAGATTTTCAGCAGTTCTTAATCCTTGTGTTAAATTGCTACAGCAGCTACATTGTATCTGATTTATTTAAAGGGATATTTATTCACTGTTTTTCTATGATATTAGATGTGTCTGCTTGCCTTTTTGTGAAGGTGGAGTCACTTTGCTGTACAGGCCATTAGCAGAAGAAATAGGACATTTTTATGGGTGATTTTATAAAGAAAGCACTCGTGTGGTTTGATAACCCTGTGAGTTATGTTATATAATGAACTTGAAACTGCTGTCAAAATGTGAGCATGTCTGTCTGGACTGGGGTTAAATATCAGCCCTGGACTTTGGGGTCCCCCGTGAGAAATTTGCCGGGGGTGGGGGCTTTAGGGGTCCCTCACGATACATTTTGCTGGTGCACTAACCTGTAGATGCCCGGTATGCTAAATGACCATGAACCTGTCCATCCACTCCGGAGCTGTCATGCTGTAGCAGAGGTACATTATCATGGTCGGGAGCCCCGGGATATTTTAGTTTGTCAGAGGCACCCTTACTGTGTTCTTCCATGGGTGGGGGGAGGGGCTGGGGAGGGCGACGATAAAAGTAGCCTCTGCATAAAAGGGTGTACATGAAAGAGCCCCTGTACTCCAGTCTGTAATCACAGAAGGGAAGAAATGACCAGTAGGCAGTTCACTGGTGAGAGGAAATGTCTTTTTTAGTAGTTTGACAGGGATGTAGCTGATGGAAGGCCGGAGTGGTTCACATGACACCTTCTGCTGAGACGGCAACTTCGGTGAGGTCCAGCGCACCCAGAAGCTCATTAAATCTGGATTTGGGGCTGAATCTGCTACCACTGGCCGGTGGCTCGAAAATTTCCATGCAATTAGCGAGTCCTCGACGACGTAATGAACATGGGGCTGCTTCTGATGGGCCACCAATGAACCGCAGCCATTTTCTTCAGCTCCGATTCAGAAACGACCGATAATGAGACATTTTTTTTTTTTTATCTTCATTCTCAAACCTCCAGGCATTAATTACCAGCTTCACTTGACTGAGCCGAACAGGGAAGCTTAGCATTCGTGATGCATGTTTGACTTGCCCAGTGCTAATGCTACTAGTTTTAACATTGTATGACTCATTCCAGGCAGGATGGTGAACAGAAGCTCGTGACAGAGGGATGGCAGGAAGAAAGAAGGACTGTATTTGGGGATGGAGTAGAAGCATAAATGAAACAACAGCAGGGAGGCCTGAGAACAAAAGACCGCAGTTTTGGCATCAATACAGGGGGAACCACACAACAAAACAGGCGTTGGGTCTCTGACGTCAGGAGCTTCGTGCGTTTCCTGAGGGAGATGTTCTATGTGGGCACCTCGCGGCTCACTGCCACAGAGGAGACCTGTCTGGATTTTGCATGGTGCCGATGGGCCTTTTCTGATGAGTCACAAAACGGTCCTGGAAGGCATCCTGTGTGCAGCTTGAGGTGTTTTTGAACCCCAAGGGACACCATCTAGATCCAAAAAAGGCATGAAGGCATGTGAAATTTAGTCAGATGATTACAACTGAATGTCAGATCTCTACAGGTCATGGTTCTGAGGCAGGAGAACCTGAACGCGGTGTATCAGTCTGAGAAAAAAGGCTTTTCTCACAGTCCACATCCAAGCCAGATGTCAGCCCCTGTGAACCTGCCGCAGATGTGGCATTCCCCATCCTGTCACCGGCTTCCTGGACGAGGGAATCCCAGTTCCGGCTAGTGGAACTATGTCAGTGGAAAAAAACAATCTGGACAAAAGTCATATTTCAATCTTTTATTAAATAATGTCCTGTTTCCTCCCCTAACTGCTGCTTTCACATAGAGGGCGAGGAGAGAGTGTCCTTTTTCTGTAAAACAGAAACCTTTGGAATGGGGGTGTATGTGTTTGACTGACCATGCACACAAACAGTAAGGTGTAATGCTGATGGACTGTCAATGCTTGGGGGGGGGGGGTGTATTTCTGCTGCCTTTCTGTATATAATCAATATTAACTATATATATGTCATAACAATATGGGCATTGGCAGTCAAACGAACATCAACAGGAGTGACAGAATAAAAAAAGTACAGTAAATATACTAAATAAATAACACAAACATTTTTGGAAACATTTTAAAAAGCGAAAAGATTTTTTTTCCTGTTACATTTCTAACTTGTTACACTGTTGCCTGTTTTTGTTTAAAACATGGAACCGACTGGTGACTCCGAGGCATCAGTGTACCCCACGGATGCAAGCTGTGAGGACCCCCACCCAAAATCTGCATCCCCCCCCACCCCTGTCACCACAACCAGCGCCCCTTAAGTGAGTTATTGTACAGACTGAGATGTATAGACCAGCACAGGGAGCAGTTTAGACTCAGGCACTGTGTGGCACATGTGCGTTGCTATGGCGACTCTGAGATCAATGGCAGACACACAGGTTACACACTGAAAAGACATCCTGCGACTTTGAACAGAACGGTACCAGGGTCCCATCTCTGCCAGATATTCAGGGTTGGCCCTTAAAATTTCTACAGGAGTACTGTAGATATTCAAATACAACTCCTAAAGACCCACAAGGGCATAGATTTCAATTCATATCTCTTTAACTCTTCATTTTTCATATATTAACAAGAACATACAATAACACATTATTTACTTCATATCTGCAGATCTAAACCCTGTTCTCATGACTTGTGTTGGTTTAAACTTTCTTTACATGTGTTATTCACAGATGATTTACTTTTTACAAGCCTGTAAATAACTTTAAATAAACATAAACCTGTCAGGCTCATTTTATAACAAGAGCAGCCCACCTGACATATAATGCTACTCCTAATTTGTGGGGTGTGGCTATGATGTGGGTGGGGCTATGCTGGCCAATCAGGTTCTAAAGAAAAAAGGCAGGGGCGGGGCCTCCCCATCCCATTTATATTTCAATGTAGTAAAATCAGGTGTGATGCCTTTGACACCCAGTGAAACACTCCAGGACACACATGGGAGTTTTCTCACACATCATAGGATCGTAGCCAAATGAAACCATGAGAAGTTCTCACATGCTAAAAATGCATTTGCCAGAGCTCAGTCAAGATGGATCAACTAAACAGTCCTTGAAAAAAAACTAAAACCCTCCTAAAATCAACAATCTTATAAACAATTCCAGTAACAATAGAAAAATGACATCCATACCACATAATCACCTTAAACAGGCTCACGAGACACCTGGCTGTCTCACTATCAGGCAGACTGGCCAGCAGACTAGATGGGGCATTTCAGTGAAATCCGCTGTGTAACGGCGCATTGAACAGTACAAGAAATATGTTGTATGAAACCATTTCTGAAACGTGAAGTCCAAAATATACTAACTGTGGATTTACTATGCAGGTTTCCTGTAAAATCATTTCTGAATATTCATACTGTGAAACACCTTTTAAATGTATAAATCTTATACATAAAAGTGGCAGTTAATATATTTTCACTCTGACATATTAAAAATATTTTCCGTGTACTTTGTGATGTCATGTAAAATAGCTGATTCCTGTATTTCACTATGTCCTGGTGCTAATTAAACCATCAGACCAGTTTTCACTCAGTTCAAACGAAACTTTATGGACTCTTGTCACTAAGTACGTAACTGTTAACGACATCATAAACTAAGGCAGTTTACTTGTAGCTTTGTGTTGGAAGTGGAATGGAATGACTATGAGAAAAAAATGTGAGTCATGGAATGTAATGGAACAGAACAGAGGAAAGTCAGGATATGGGATGTTAAAGCACACAATTGAATGGAATATCAAGATATGGGATGTTAAAGCACACCATGGAATGGGATATCAGGATATAGTATGTTAAAGCACACCATGGAATGGGATATATCAGGATATGGGATGTTAAAGCACACCATGGAATGGGATATCAGGATATGGGTTGGGGAGGAGTATCTGGGAATAGAGTCAGATAACTGAATCAAGGCTGTGAGACGGTGACCGATTAGCTAGGACTGACAGGACGGTATAAGGCAGGCAGCAGTGAAATTCAGCTATGAGCTTAATAGTGCCAGTCAAAACCTGACCCACGATTCAAGCTACCACTTCGATGACCCAGCAAACGCAAGCCGGGCCCAGGTGAAGGCTGGGGGTCCTGGAACCTGAGCAAACCTGGAGCTTGGCTTTACGGCAGACCCACCGGGCCTCGGTAACCAAACTACCGACACCACCCTGTTGTATCGTACTTAAACAGCTTAAACTACGGGAGGAAATAAAGAGGGAATCCTGCAGAATTCCTCCGACAGCATTGGTCCTTGGAAGTAACGGAAGCTCCTCCTCCCCCATTAAAAGCCTACAGAAAGTGTCCTCCTGTCTCACTGACGTTATTTCTGCTCTGCAGAAGCCTGTGAGTCACTCCTTAAATCTCATATTTAGACAGACCCTTTTCAGCTAAGACAGTCCAGATCAAGTGCCCACCTAAGGGTACAACAGCAGCTTCCCTCAGGATAGGGTTGGTACAGAACTGGAATCGGAGTCACCTGCCTGCCTGTCTGTGTGTCCAACTGTCCCTTTGTGGTTTGGTGACACAACGACAATATTGCAATACTAGCGCATGTGCTTGTGGATGCATTCTGGAAAACAATGTTCTGTGTCTTTGATATCGGCTTTTGTCTTGACATGTTAATATCAAAGATGGCACTTTTGTGTTTGCGTGTGTGTGTGGGTGGGAAGGTGAATATCCGCTCTTGTGCATACTCACGTGACCCTATGCTCCTCCGTGCACATGCTTATGTGTGACCCTGCAGGACCCTGTGTGCATGTGTGTGTGTGTCGCATCAGCTATAGGACCCCATCCATGAAGCTGGTGTCCAGCCTCTGGATCAGCACGCGGATGAAGGACATCTCCTTGCGCGTGTTTTCGAAAATGATCCGCGGGTCGTCCGACTGGCAGCGCAGGCAGTTGGGCGCCATCACCATGGCCAGGTTGTTTATGTCCATCTTGGTGATGGCCACGTTGGCGGGCTGGGCGAACACCTGGAAGCAGGTGCAAATGGGTGAGAGAGGGAAAGAGAGACAGAGAGAAAGAGAGACATGCGTCACGTGGGGCTGGGGGTTAATTCATGCTAATTAACAGCTGGAAGTCGCTGGCAGAGTGAGAGAGAAGGGGGGGGTGGATGGTATCAGTGAGGTCAGAGGTGGGAGATGGGATAGGACAGAGAAGCACAGCGGGGGGGGGGGGGGTGCACGCCCAGGCGAGAAATCACTCAACAAAGTCTGCTGGGAGCTCACACAACCTGCGCTAGGCATCCTAACAGCACGCAACTAAGACGGCACTCTATCACACACACACATTTCTATGCTCGCTAACCACGAGGCAAAGCACTGCAGGGAATACTTCACAA